AGTCCAGTACTGAATAGCTTCAAACTGATTCCTAGGACAACAAAGACCTGGTATGACCAAATAAGTAGATGCCTTCAATGAGTGTTTTTCTCTGTTTTAATATTTCTCTGGACATGCAAAAGAAGCAAAATAAGAGTAGATCTCCACATTAACAAAACAGTGACTAACATTTGCATGGTACTTGATGGCATATAATAACCTTTGCATGTGCATCATTAATTTGTCAAGCATCTACAGAGCTGTACCATGTGCTAGAACTTTGCTGGACACTAGAGTAGAAGCACATTGCTGAGGCACTCCTTGACTTAAAGGTATCATCTTAATTAAATGTGACATTCTAAGAAAGCACAGACTTTCAAAACTGAGAAAGACAAATTATCTTTTTCAAATTCTTATAGATGTGGAAAATTAAGCCCCAGGAGAGTAAGTTGCTAGCAATTTTATAACTGAAACTTATGGCAGAGTTGAGAAAGACTCCAGGTTTCTGGTTAGATTTCCATTTTATTTCTCTTTACATAAATCAGTAGCTTGTGTAGGTGAGAATTATTTTCTGAATGAAAACAGTGAAGTCAATAAATTCAGAGATGTAGAATGCTAACTGTTTTGAAAATATTTCATCATTTTTGTGTAAGCATGTGATTTTAGATGAAGAGCAGTACAGTATTAAAGGAAATTCTGAACAGAATTCAAGTCTGAGCAGACACAAGCAGCAGGATGTGGTTTGTTTTGTATTGTTTTATTTGGGGACCGGGATCTTAACTGAGTTGCCCAGGCTGACCTCAATCTTGCAATCCCCTTCCTTAGCAGCCAGAGTATTAACACACGTGTGCCACTATACCCAGCTTGATAACAGTGCTATTAATTAAACTTCTAATTTCACCACGTCCCCTTCTAATGTCCTTTTTATGTTCCAGTATATAATTCAAATTCCATAGTGCATTTAGTTTCTGCACCTTAGTCTCCTCCCATCTGTGACAGTTCCAATGTTTTTCCTTCTCTTTTATGAGCTCCTTTGATGAATATTTGTCAGCTATTTTGTAGAATGCCCCTCAGTTTTTTTCCCCCAATATTTTTCTCATGATCAAACTGAAGGTACAGGGTTTTTTTTTTTAAGGATAGAGTGTGAGAGAGAGAGAA